AAGCGCATCGATCGAAATTCTCAATTCATCCCGGGGCTACAAAAATGTATATGGATCTAAGGAAGGAGTATTGGTGGCCCTGTATGAAAAGGGATGTTGCATGGTTTGTTGAGAGATGCTTGACTTGTCGGCAGGTTAAGGCCGAGCACCAGCGACCGCACAGTAAATTGCAACCGCTAGATATTCCCGAATGGAAGTGGGAACATATTACCATGGATTTTATCACCAAATTGTCGCGGACTGCGAGGGGAGTCAATGCGATTTGGGTGATCGTGGATAGATTGACGAAGAGCGCTCATTTTCTAGCCATCAGCGAGAGCTCTTCTGCGAAGAAGTTGGCGGAATTATACGTGAGGGAGGTGGTATCGCGGCATGGGGTTCCGATGTCGATTGTTTCAGACCGCGATGTGCGTTTTACCTCCAGGTTTTGGAAGAAGTTTCATGAGGAGTTGGGTACGAGACTGCATTTCAGTACCGCATACCACCCGCAGACGGATGGACAAAGCGAGCGAAAGATTCAGACGCTCGAGGATATGCTCCGAGCATGTGTTTTAGATTTCGAAGGGGGTTGGGACACCTATTTACCTTTAGCAGAGTTTTCGTACAACAACAGCTATCATTCAAGCATTGGTATGCCACCTTTTGAGTTGTTGTATGGGCGGAGGTGTTGCACCCCCATCTGCTGGGGATAGGTGGGGCAGTGGGTGATGGGTAGCACGGAGATCGTACTCCAGACGACCGATCAGATTCAGCAGGTCAGGCAGAGGTTGTTGACCACGCAAAGTCGCCAGAAGAGTTATGCGGACAGGCGGCGGTCCGAGCTCGAGTTTCAAGTGGGTGACCTGGTGCTCCTAAAGGTCTCTCCTTGGAAAGGAGTGATTCGGTTCAGGAAGAGGGGCAAGTTGGGGCCCCGGTATATTGGGCCCTTCAAGGTAATTGCTAGGGTAGGCCGGGTAGCCTACCGGTTGGATTTACCTGCTGAGTTGGGGCAGATCCATGATACTTTTCATGTCTCACAGTTGAGCAAATGTATTGCCGACGAGTCGGTAGTGGTTTCATTGGATGATATTCTGGTGGATGCAGGTCTGAACTATGTGGAGAGACCGGTAGCGATCAGGGATCGGAAAGTTAAGGTTCTGAGAAACAAGGAAGTACCCCTGGTACAAGTGCAGTGGCAACATCGGAAGGGGTCCGAGCTGACATGGGAATCCGAGTCGGAGATGTGGGATCAGTATCCGGAATTGTTTTCAGTATGAGACTTCGGGGGCGAAGACTGATTCTAGTGGGGGAGAATTGTAACAGCCCGAAATCCAGGTATTCTTCTGTTGGACATTTCATTTTGATTAAGTTAATGATTTAGGGTTTTCATGGTAGGCGAGTACGTTGGGCGTACAAGGTGTACGCTGCGCGTACTCGCGCGCCTCATTTGGACGCGTTCCCCCTCAGGTACGCGGGGCGTACCCAAGGTTACGCCCGGCGTAACTCATTCAGACCCAAACCCTAATTTCCTTTGTTGAGGCTATAAAAGGAATGTGTGGTTGGACTTCTCAGCCACCACCCCTCAGAGTGAAACCCTAAATAGTGTATGCCATCGTCCTTAAGCCTTTGTGTGTGCATTCTAAGCTTGGTAGTGTCATTTTAAGGTTGCAAAGGAGAAAAAGAGCTTGTTGGAGAGGCTAGAATTGGTGCTCAAGTGCAGATCTGAGCTTTGCAAGGGTTAAAGCTTCAATTTCAGGTAAAAAGTTCGGATCTTGACACTTGGTTCTTGTTGTATGCTTTAGATGTCATTTTCTAGGGTTTAAGTCCCAAAGGTGGAGAGTTTTGTGCAAATGGCCTCCATAAGCTTAGATGCTTCATGTTTATGATCTATTGGAGTTGTAGACTCATAAAAATGACATCTTGGATGTGGGTATTGCACCATGCATGAGATCTAGGACCTTGAGTTTGAATAAAAGGTTGCTAGGTGGTGTTGGAGCCTTTACAGCCATTCCAAGGCTTAAAGGTCTCGACTTTATGGGTTCAGACACGCTAATGGAGTCGGATGTGGAAGTTGGAATAATGACTTAACTGATTAAGACCAGAAATGGAGGGTGGCTGATTCTGGTGGTTACGCAGGGCGTAACTTCCAGTACGCGCCGCGTACTGGGTGGAGACCCCGATCCAGGGGAAGTTAGCGATGTACGCCCCACGTACATCTAGCAGTACGCCCCACGTACTCTCATGGTTGACCTTTGTTGACTTTTAGGGTTTTGGTCAACATAAGGACTTTAGGTCAGGGAAGGGTAAAATGGTCTTTTACCCTTTCAGGAAGGATGATAAGGGGTAAAGTTTTAGTAGTGGAAGTCTTCGTGTATTAAATGATATTTTTATGCTTAGGTGAGGTTGAGCCGTCGTTGGATTCGGTGATAGCGAGGACACGAGATCTTAGACTTCCCACGAGGTGAGTTTTCTCACTATACTGTACCCGGAAGGGTTTGACTGTGTGACCGGAAGGTCGGATATGCTATGAGATATATGTATTATGTGTGATAAATTATTTGTTATATGTGTCATGTATGATATGATTGATATAGGCCGGAAGGCATTATATTATGGGCCGGAAGGCGAATATGTTATGGGCCGGAAGGCGTTATAAAATGGACCGTAAGGTTGACGTGGGTAGGACCGGAAGGTTTACCCAGTCGGGACGGAAGTCCCCTGAGACACATGGACCGGAAGGTCAGGGCCTGGAAAGACGTATGTGCGTAGGTTGTATTTTGGGGAACTCACTAAGCATTTATGCTTACAGTTGTTGTGTCATGTGTTTCAGGTACTAGCGAGGACCGTGGGAAGGCGTCCGCGTGATCGTACACACACTCGGGGGAAACTATTTTTGTGGTCTTTGTTATGTAACCGGTCGTGACAATATTGTTTACATTGGAACCTAATTTATTACTCGGTGTTTTTGATGTTTGTAAAAATGAAAAATTGGTTTTAAAATTTACGTCGTTACACTTCCATTCGATTTCTTGCTACACAAACTGTCTCTCTCACACATATATTTGCTTTTTCATCTTGCAGTGTTGTATGGGATGATGTTGGCCTAACACTCATCTCTGTTTTTCTATTCATTCTTCAATCCATTAAAATGGTGAAAGAAACTGATCAGATAATCCTGATCGAAACCTTCACAAAACACACGAATCAAAACACTTGTACATGAACCCATCTGGTTTAATCTATTCCTTCAATTTGAAAAACAATGTGTTTAGCTTCTTCAGCAAGTTTACACCCACATATAGTCTCAGTCACTCCGTTTAGAGTTCTTAGATTATATCTGTAACCAAACGATTATGCCCAATTTCATTGATCGAATCCCATAAAAGGTCTGTGTTTCTTGATTTTCCAATGATGTCGAGCATTTTGTTTACTGTGACGGGAGTGTGATTGAAGGTTTGGGTTTGGGAGAATTTGTGAAACTTGTAAACGGGTTTCCAGGAGTAGGGGAATTTGTTGCTGGCGTCGGTGTCATTGGTGCTTCAAACCCATCACCATCTATGCCACACCTCGATGGTGTCGATGTCAGTGTTGGTGCCACTGGTGCTTCAGATGACAATCCAGCTCCCCATCTGCCTCCTGTTTCAAGTTTAAGCTACATGAGGTCCGGTGGGACTAACGCAATCGGAGATTGAAGCAACTGAAAACGGATGACTTCTTGATAGAAAACGAGAAACATGATCTGGAGAACATAAAGGAGTTTGAGGTTGGATTATTAGGGCCAAGATTGCAACTTCGATAGTGGGTAATCGGAGTTAACAGGGATGTACGCACCATAATGGAAGAAGACGACCTAATTTTGTTGTGGGTCACGTAACATTATATATCAACAAAAAAAATCTTTATTTAATAAAATGCCAAAAAATCAAAGAAAAACCGGATGACCCCTTTACAGTCTTAAAATGGTGTAATTGACAATAAATATACAAGTTTACTGACCTATTGTGCAAAAAAATAATTTTAGTGACCAAATCGGACAAACGCGAAAAGTTTGTTGGGCTAATATGCTATTTGCCCATTTTCCATTTTCAAAATTTTGAAACTCCTAAATCATTTGAGATTCTAGAATGATTTTATTGGGTCTTCTAGACTTAAACGATAGAAAAATGTGCAAGTTTTGGTTATGTTCGATCATCTAGAGAAGTTTATCCATTAAGGATAAAAATGTGCAAGCTTTGGTTCTCTTCGATCATCTTGAGTTGTGAACTTATTTTGGTTAGGAAATGGATAAAGTCGTGAACTTTATCCATTAAGCCCGTAGTAGAGTCAGATCTGAGGATTTGAGCTCTAGACGTTAAGGATTAAGAGATTAATGGATTTGAACTCTGGACGTTAAGGATTTGAGAAATCTAACCATTACAGATATCAACCACGAAATGGAGTGAGATTACTATCGATTTATAATGAAATTGCCTTGAAGGTAATAGGGGTTATGAGAATTGTCAACCAACTAACTAATCAAAATCTATATTATATGACAAGACATCATAGAGTGCCCTTGTCTATTATATCATGTAAAAACAACTAATTTACTTCCAACCTTTTTGAAAAACTTTTAAGAGCATATGAGTTCTAAGGTTCTCATCTAAGAGATATACATGCATTTACTTTCAACTTTTTGAAAAGCTTTCAAGAGCATAGAGTACCAAGGTTCTCATGAGTAAGATATATACACACAAACAGACGGTCAATGTGAAAGAACCATTTAAACTTTAGATGATACGTTAGAAGGTAGTTGGAATGACCACCAACAATTATAGAATTTATTTATAACAATTATAAGCATACTGATGACACCCTACAAAGCGTTGTACGAAACATCATGTATAACCACTACAACTATATGTTAGACAAAAGTTGGAGAGAAACCTCATGTACGCCCAACATCGTTCAATTAATTGAAATAAAAAATAAAAGCGGTGCACAATCAGACTGCAAATTTGAATGGCTCAAGAAAGATAAAAGCGGTATGTCGTTAGATAACAAAAACTACTAGAAATCAACATAGATGATACGGTGATGCTCATGAGTTTTCCATTGAAAAGGCATAATTTGTTTATGTAACCGAGTGCAATTAATTACAAGATGCATCGGGTCCTAAAAGAGTTGGGTCGGTAGCTTACACATTAGAGTTACCGAAAGAGTTACAAAGGATTCACAATATATCACACATCCTGTTTACGAAACTCTTATTGATGATTCTTAGAAGGCGTGACTAGCAGAAGTGGAAGTAGGTGAGAAGCAGCGGTACGTGGAACAACCCGAGAGGATACACCCCTCTAGTAATTAATGTAGAACATTTGAAAACAAACTGCTGCAATTATTTCAGAACAATTACAATTTCAAGTCCAAATTAAAGAAGTAAATAATTTAAAATGATACCAAGAGCATTTAGCAAAAAATAAGCTGAAAAACATAATCTTACATTCTCACCAGTATAAGATAAAAACCTGAAGAGTGAAGAGGTCAACTAAGATCCTTTGGTTTTAGTCTCTTATCTCTATAGTCTATATACCATCAACCTATATCTATCTGCAAGATTTACTACTCACCAAATAAGCCGAACAAATGTACACAAATATACTTATACCACCACCTTTCTACACATATATACATCAAAAAAGCTTAGCTACCATGGAAATTTATCAGATGTAGCGCCCTCTATCTGAAAAAGCTGCAAATAGTGTCATAAAGTTGTCTCGTATGCCCAAAAGGTATCGGGATCAGGACAAAAGAGGGAAAAATCTTCAATTTCTAAGTTTGCTATGTGCCAGTCAACAAACCGCGCTTGAATCACCTTCAACACCATCAGCAGCATTGGCAACAACCACCAGTCATCGTCCTCACTAGTGTTGTTACAAGGGCAAATTTGTCAGTTTTTTCATAAAAGAAAATTTTACTTCTTCCTTCCCATCACAACTGAAAGGTATACTATGTTTGGCATGGAAAGGGACTAAGACCTATGTCAATGAGACAAGATCTTGTCTGGCTAAAAGACTTGAATGTCCTTTTCATCCTTGTCATTGAAAATGACCCTAGAAAAATTGTCCGGTCTTGTCCTCAAGAGTTTCCATTTTAGAATGTCCCACGTTGGGGGTTCAATGATTTCTTTTCTGACTAAATTACCTATTTGCCTGCTCTCACTATCATAATATTTGTGGTTTGATTATATTGTTTTATCATTATTCAATAATATTTTAGGCATTTAAATAATAGTTGCATACTTCTATTAAATAAAGTTGCAGTATCAACTGAATAATGATTACAATAATAAGAGTTAATGTCTTTTAAGAGTAATAAACTTTATCCCGTGTACACATTTAGTCACTTACGTTTTCTTTTTGTACATATATATGACCATTAATCATTTTTTTTTGTATACATTTACACACTTACATATTTTTTAAGTGTACAAATGGAAAAAAATTTGATGGTCATGTGTAAAAATAAATAAATAAATGACTAAATGTATACACGAGATAAAGTTTATTACCCTTAAAAGACTAATATTAACCCTAATAATAATAATAATAATAATAATGACGATGATTACAATAACAATTATAATAATCATGATGATAATGATAATAATATGATTACTTTTATGGGACAGAAGGAGTATGTTTGCATTATGATAAAAGATGAAAGGTTTTACCTCCTGTTTTTCCATGCATTTGGCTCTTGATAGGTCTGGAATGACAAAAATCCATAATGAATCATGCCACATGTGAATGCCACAGCCTGCATCAACCAATCATGCATAAACATCTTTATCACCAACATCATAAAATAAAAGAACAAGATTAAGGCCCTGTTTTTTTCCTCCCCATTAAATGTTGTAGGGATAGAGTAGTATTCTATGATGCTTATAAAGTATTTGAGAAAATGACTGCACACTTGAAGACATTTGTAAAATGTAATTCAGTAACTTTGTCTATAGAGTGTCTTTCTGCATTAAGTATAAAAGAGACACCCATATATAACTTACCGGATTAAAGTCTGCCTCCATTAAGTTTAACCACCAAACTACTTTCTTTGATCGATTTAGCTATTGAACAATTACTAAATTTTAATTATAAAAAAATCAATAGTTTAGTAGCTAAATCGACAATATGGTGAAAGTATGTTGTGGTTTTCTATACTCTGCCTTTCCGGGTAACTTGAAAGAATGGTTATTTAGACGTTCAAAAAAAAAATGTTAAGTGGCTAAATCGATAGAATGGTTAAAACACAAGTGGTTTTATGAATTTTTTTCCCCATTCTTTTCACATAAAATATATAACCCAAATTAACGATTACATACTCTTGATATACATTTTGAGTTAAAAATAAGGGGGTTAGGTTATAGAGAACTTACAATATTTGAAATAGAGGTAGCATTCCATAGTGCATATATACGAGCAAGTGAAGCCCTTCTATGACCCTTACTAAACAAGGCATTCAAACCCGCAGGGAAAGGTGAAAGCAATGATAGAGGGAGAATAAGCAAAACTGCTAGAAATGCCCCGAGAGATATCCAATAGAATTCAAGCAATATAAAGAGTGTCAGAGAGAGGTCCAACAGAAGCAACACGCATATCATTAACTGTAAGGTATCCTGAAACCACATGACATGGATATATTATGTAAAAGTCACTTTCATGAATCAATCACTTGTGCTATAGAAAGAAAGAAAAAAAAATGATAAAGTAACATAATACCTGGCGTCCAGTAGGTCTTGTGTTGTGCAGAAATAAAGAAAATGGAAAGAAATAATCGCGGGTAAATTCCAAAGACTTCAAGGAAATATCATTGATGATGCCACCATTAACTCCGCCTGCAACTCTTTTGCGAGTCAACACATGACTCGTATATGACTGACTGGGTTGCAGCTGCTTAGTCACAATAGGCCTGAATCATATGATATACTCATTCATGAATTAGATGCAAGTTATATATGTATATTCATTTATTTCTTTCTATTACAACAATTTTATTTCTAAGGCATCCATTTTTTGAAAAATCTAGACAAAATTACGTAGTTATTTCTTGTATTTATTTAACTCTAAGAAGCTTTGTGGTAAAAACATAGGAGTAAATTAATAAGTAAATGTGAAACATACTTTGATTGATTTGTTTCTAGCATCCTATTCCTATTACAACATTAAATTTGGAAAAATTCTTCCAATTATATATATATATATATATATATATATATATATATAGAGAGAGAGAGAGAGAGAGAGAGAGAGAGATTATTGTAAGGTTAAGTTAATATTGCAGGAAGTTACCTGGGGGATTCTTGAATATTTCCAATGAAATCAGGGTGGTGGAGGGTGTGATCACCAACCATTACCAAAATCCCCAACTGATAGAAACCGGTAGCAGTGGCTTGAAACCATCCGAGCTCAATTCTGACCCCATGAAACTCAAGCTGAGGGTTCCCATGAGTTTTTATCCAATTAATAACCGGAACTAAAGCAGACCTTATCGATCCACTTCTCACACTTCTCAATTGCCCATTTAAACCGGCTACCAGCCGATTCCAAACGCTTGAGGGAACATGCTGCCCATCAATCAATGTCGTCAGTCTAAATAAATCTATTTCCATTTCTTTCTCTATTATACCATTTCTTTTCTTATTAATTAAGCCATTGTACATTGAAAAATCTAGTCTTCATTACTAACGTAATTTTTTTCCTATACTTTGAAATTTCTTACCAAATTTTAGCATTGAAAATGGCTTTGTATTTGTATGGATTTCTTATTAAGGCATTCTACTGTGAAAATCTTTTTATTAATACGAAACTCGACCCAATTATAGCAGTCAAAATTGGTTTGTATAGAAATGACATGTCCATAATTGGCTAGATTTTCAAAAAACCATGCCTTAATAAATAAGAATTTCATCAAAATAAAAAGCAATTTTTACGCCTATAACTGAGTAAAGTTTTCAGATCACAACGTCCTACTAAAAAATTTAAAGTAGAATTGTTATAACCGGGTAGACGTTTCCAAAGTACATGCCAATAATAAGAAAATCCAATGCTGTAATATAAAGGATTGCAAGTAGAATGACATAAAAAAAAAAATAAAAAAAAAATAAAAAAAAAATAAAAGTACGAAGGTATTATTTGAATAGAATATATTGACATGAGAAGAGAAGAAAAGACCTGTCCTATAAGATTTGTGAGCAAAGTATCGCTGTGGAGATTGTAAGGCGACATGTAGGTTCCAGCTCCACCAAAAATTATGGACATTGGGAACCTTTTCTGGATACTTGTCACCATGTCTAAACGCTTCTCATCCCCACCCAAGAAGAAATCAATATACGCCACCACTAGATCTGGCGTCGCACCTACCTGCATTCATTTTTCACATATAAATATAAATAATAATTCAAAAGCTATTTTGTTTTTATGATTCCAATTCCATTTCCTGCCAACAAAATATTTAAATAAAAAAATTTGAACCTTCATCCCTTTGTATAAGGCTCTTGATCGGCAGGAGCGAAGACAAGAATGATCATATTCTGATTTAACAAACTCCTGAAGCCGATTGATTTTATATCTTCTACGCCATTGTTTCCAAGACCAGCCACAAGGATAAGCAAGCAATGAAAGTATACTGTGCACTGATCCTTCCCACCAGTCGTATGCAGCCACTGAGTTTATCTCATCAATAAATCTGTTAAACGAATCCTCATACCTGCATCTCAAACCCACACATATTCTTTATATTCATCCCGCACTCATAACTGAAAAGACTTCACTTCCTAAACTATACATGAGTGATGAGTGTTTCTTTCTGACTTATTTTATAATGCAGAAATAATGATTTAACAGAGAAACAAGGATTTCCCCGTTAATTCATAACTTGTGTCATCATAATCTTCTAAAAAACATTTATCCATAATGGAAAAAAAGATTCTCTTACAAACTCATCAAAATCACTTGTTAACGTAAACAGTTTCTTAACAATTATGAAATGACTGAGTGTTGAGGTGAATGTGTGTTCTTACACAATATCAATGATGGCATCAGGAGGCGAGTAAGGAAGATGCCAGGGTTCTCTAAATGTATTGGGGCCCATAAAGTACATCCGGTACACATGGCTTTGAGTTTCATCGCCTCTTGTTCCTCGTACCTATAAAAAAAATGTATCACTAGCCTTGTATGGACTATTAGAAAAAAAAATAAAAAAATAAAAAATAACGTATACACCACCCCTGTCAATGGGACAAAAACCAAAATATTTTGTCCTACACAAAAGACGTGAATGCCCTTATCCACATCATTAATAACAACCCTAAACCCTAAGTCCATGTAGAGAAAAATGTGCACTGATTGTAATATACCTGGGATAGGGAGAGAAGAGAAGGAAAATGGTGGTGATTACTGTGTTCCATTGAATCAACTTTGCTGTATGCACAAGCTTGTCCAACAAGTTTGACCCTAAGCGTACTTAAGAACAAACCAAGAAGAACCACAACACATGACAACACGAGAGCAAAAGGCCAGGGTCCTCCAAATGTGTATATCAGCTCTTCAAGAGGTGTATAGCAGTTTGGCATCCTGTACTTTTCTGATCTGCATTTGTAAGGACAAAAGGACTCCGACACTCCACCTGAATCAGTCATTATAGTAAAATAGGTTACACATGATGTGATCTCTCTGTGTGTGTTTGTGGTAGTCTAAAGTTACCTCGAACATGTACAAAATATGCACGTCTGGGAAGATTTTCAAGGGAACAAGGAGTACAAAGATCAACATCGGACCCTTCCACATCTTTAAAAGTGCCAACTGGACACTCCTGCAAACATACACATAAAGAATCAGAATCAACACCTACTTAAAAGGGTAACACATGTAAATTTTGAGAAGGAATCAAATACACATACCTCGCAGAATGTACCAAAAAGCCCTTTAGGGCAGTCCCTTCCAGTTATTGTACCATCCTCCCCTGGAAGAGCCTCTCCATCCCCTTCACCACCCCTGTAGTAAAAAGTAAAAACTCAATACAAATTAAGAAATGGCAACTTACCTTCATCTCTTTCTATAGCAGCATTTCACTTCCAATTTTTTACTTATTAAAAAAGATGATCCAATTATAGCATTCTACTTTCAAACTTTTTTCCCTTATCAGGACATGACACTTTGAAAAATTTTCCCTAATAAAATTTATTCCAAAATACAATGCTGTAGTAGGACAAAGGATGCTACTTGTTGCATTTAACCCTAAAAGTAATATGGTGTGGGGTGTAAATGGAGTAAGTTGTAAGTTGTAGAATTAGGAAGCGTACCAGGTGCTGATAGTAGTATTTATGATTGCAAGAGGAACATAGTCATCTCCTGTGCCAATTTTGGACCAGTGGAAATGAACTCTGCCGCCACCTCCACCACCACCACCAACAGGGACACCATGGCCTCCGGCAACAGACAAAGAGGAGTTATCAAAGAGAGAAATTGCCTGTATGAAAAGAAGAATTGTTCCGCCAGAACCACCACCTAATCCTCCAATAAGAGTACCATTACTGTTTGTTGTTGCGTTCCCATAGGTTTCACCATCAGCCCTCATGGATCCATATATGTCAAGCTTTGAAAGAGGCCATTGTTTAGATCCCATCACTGCCACCATAAACAATAAATCAAGATTTGTTTCGGATTGAATGATATTGATATTGATATTGATATAAAAATAAATAAAGTAATCAGTTACCGATCATTCCTCCTCCAGCAACACGACCAACAGGCTCGTTAGGACCAAGTGTTCCGCTTCCCAATTCACAGGGAAGATCCGGTCTGCCATATGTGGTGCCACCTTCACTCAGCCTTCCATGATACAATCCAGTACCCCCTCTGCCACCATGCCCAGCACCACCACCCGCTCCATTTGAATAGTTTCCCAAACCAAAACCATTTCGACAACCTGCGTTACTTACATTTTATTATCAGTATTAAAAACCACTCATAAAAGATAATGAATGCCATACGGAATTGGAATTGGATCCTGTCATGAACTACTGACAGCAGATAGAGAGGCAAGAGGAGTGAGCATACTTTTGAAATTTTTTTTTTTTAATGAGGGAAGGTTTTAGGATATCAATCCATCAAAGGATTTAAATTAAAATTATTCAGATGGAAATCAATTATGTAACCAAATGAGGGACTGAAATGGACTTGAAAAATACCTAATTCGGAAGCAGTTATCATGCCATCTAGATCCACCATCACAGTCCTTGCCCTATGGATCTGAATGATACTTCCCTTAATTATGCCGTTCACAACTATGTCTTCAACACGGCAAATCTGCCAATTTCACACAATTAATATTAATATCCTAAATATTATGTTATTAATTTAACCACAACAAATACTTAAATACACCCAGAAATATCCTTAGGATTCAGGGGATATGACATAGGCCATCAATCATATGGTCCACAACATTACAAAAGAATGTGCATATAACAATAAAGGTAATGGAATTAGTCCATTACATTCCATATTCATATTTGGCTGCTCTATAAGAATGAGATGAATTTTAATTTGAATTTTTTGTATCACATGCAACTACAATTTCTAACTTTAACTCCGCCTTTTTTCATATTACATGCAAATACAATTTCTATCTCTAACTCTACCTTATACATTATCTTGTTCATTCTAATGGAATGAACTATTCCATTACTTCCTTGATTCTATCATACCAGACGCTACCTTAAAAGACTGATACTAAATGGGAATGCATGTGCTAAAAAATTGCAAATGATTCTTACTTGTAGTGAAAAGGAAAGTGTGTCATTAACATGACAATCATCGGGTGGGTAAATCAAATCTCTTGGGCATGAAGGATTCTCACAATGGGCTTTGGTTACCCTGCCAAAGCCAAATATGTTTAACACATAGTTTGCACTCCACTGCTTAATTGAAATAAAAAGTTACCCCTTACATGGTTTTGCTGTTATCATCTTCTAATGGGGCTTCAAGCAAAGAACCTGGCCCAATCTGTTAATAGAAATTGGTCAATAAAGAAAAGAAACCCTCCATTTGGAGTTCATGTAGGTGGCTGGCATAAGATCTTAATACCCACCCACATTGGAAAGCAGAAACACACACACTGGAACTAAAGATTGTAAGCAAAAAAACAACTCTTACTGTTATGTTATAGAATAGCGAAAGGGAAAGTCTTTGTGCTCTGATTGCATCACCCTGGCCAGTCAATCTCAGAAGTCCTTGACCATAAACAGCCAAATTTGTATTTGAGTTTATGCTCGAGTTTTCCTGCCAAAACATAACAATACATACAGAGCCATCATCAGATTCACCAAATTATACTGTAAGTGGAAAAATTGATGCTCATACCCTCAGAACAATTAGGTTACGAACTTCAAGGACTGAAATAGTGTAAAGTGTGCTTCCACCACCATCAACTTGAATTTGGGCGTTCCACATCAGCACCATTTTGAATGTAGCTCTCAGTGCACCATACACCTTCATGGAAAGGGTTCATTGAAGATGTGAACTCAAAATTAAACACGTAATTAGAAAGAAAAAAAAATACCCACTGTAATATTGTATTCAACTGGATAAATTAGAACTGATGACGTTCTCCTCAAGAAACTACCCCATGGGAAGTGACAAGGGCATAAAGAATATCTCGTTTTGAGATGTATATCATTCTTTTTCAGGCTATTGCAAGAAATAGCAAAAAACGTACTTCCATTTATTTGTTTATTACAGCAGCCTATTTTTATTTCTTTCAATTACAATATTGTACTTTCAAAAAATTTCTTATCATGGCATTGTACTTTGAAAACTTACCAAATTACAACATTGTACATTCAGTTTTTTTTGGACATTGTACTTTGAAGAATCTCCCCCGTTAGAGCAGTGACAATTGCTTTGTATTTGGATGACACTGCTATAATTGGGTAGATTTTTCAAAGTACAAATTTGTAATAAGAAGAAATGGAAGTAGAATGCTATAATAAAAAATATAAAAAATGAATAGTATGTTGCTAATCCTTGCACTTAACCCTTCTTTTTAAGTCTAAACAAATATGTACCTTTATGGTGGAATCACTCATAAGAAGTTCTTCAGCAACAAGCTCAAACTCAGACACTGGATAGTCAGACAACCCAAAGATGATGCTGCCACCACACTCTAGTTTGATTTGGCCTCTAACCTGTCGAAACAGAAAGACTTAGCAAAAGACTAGTCACTAGTGCATGTCAAGATATACATGAAAAGAATGGTTTTATGATAATATTACACATCAATGAGCCAAAAACATTCACATAAAAGAAAGTGAAATTCCATAAATATTAGTCAGTGTTAGTCGGTACTAAATCAGTTTCCAGCAAACCATCAGCGTAAAATGATCATTTAATGTCATTCATTCAGACTGCTATTCAACCTAACAAAGGGCTTGTTTGATAGCCTCTTAATGGTTCCATTTTGAGGAAGACTCAATCATTAAGAGCTTTTAATTCAGCTAATATGAACTGGTCAGAGGCATCTGAACGAATGATTCCCTTATTACCCTTATTAAACCTAAAAAACCTTCTCCTTTCTTCTTTTTCTTTAGAAGCTGACATCATCTCTCCAACTCTCATCGGCCCTCTGAACCACCGCAGCCGCCACCTTCCTTCCCCATCGTCCTCCTTCCCTGCAGGCTGCAGCTACCTCCACCTCTCCAAATTCCCTCAACCAGAGCCAGCTACTTTCCTGCAGTCAATTTTTTTTGTTGTTGCAATTGCTGACTAGGGTATATAGATTGGAAGGTGAGTTTGTGTTGGAGACTTGGAGAAAGATAATAATCAGTTGGTTTAAATGATTTGGATTCTCAAAGGATAAAGAAATTGAGGAATCATGGTCTGATGAGTTTACTTCCTATCAAGCGAGGGATTGTTGTTCAATGAAACATATTCCCTGCTAATCTTCAATTTTAACTAAATGTTGCTTGCTTTTTTACATTACTAGCTATCATACCCTGTTGTAGTTGAAGCTTATTTCATATTAACATGTCGTTTTTCATCCATGTTATACATATATGTTGTGTTATATATCATGTTACATTTTCCAAGCTTCATAGGGTATTGAGTAGTCATGCAGAATCCAAAAGAAAAGTAGACATTTGTTTCTTGATCTTGTATAAGATTGGAGAATTAAAACTTCTCATATTGACTCACTTGTTGTGATTTATGTAATGGTTGTAAAATAGGTGCTGAAGTTGTCAATTGGGTTGCTACTTGCTACTCATAGATTTGGGAATGTATTTGGATCTGGTGTTGTGGAATTCAAGAGATATGTAATTTTGGGAGTGCATTCCGATCCAGAGTTGTGTGGGTGTTTGTTCTTTGATAATATGTTTTGTAATTTTGGATTTTGGTTGATCTGTGTATCTTCGAGGTTAGAAGGTTAAAATGGTAATTTTGATCCGTTCAGCAACCTTACCAAACAGCTCTGAATCATTCAGGCCTCTTAATAGTTAAGCCCTGAACCATCCAATTTCTACCAAACAGCCCCAAAGAAACATCAACACTTCCTACAAACAGTGATTATTTATCCATACATAATTTTATCCTGACAGCACATAATGAGAAGAGGAACAGAACATAACCATAGTCGGTATGTCATTTCTGTTTATGTTACACTAGTACATGTGCATGACAAGGAAACAAGTCCAAAATGCCCAGACAACAACATGCCAGCTGCCACCCTATCGCAACAAGTTGATTAAAAAGCACATTTTTAATTCCAGGCATACAGATATCAAAATTAAAGTAGGTGCAAATTTCCATGAGTGTTAAAAAGAGAGAAGGATTTGTGTCTTTACAGAGTTTTGGAATCTAGGAAATCTCTATATATTATAGTTTATACTCCTATCAAAAGAGAAAGAAGGGTTTCACACTCACACACACATTTGAATAGTAAATAGTAAATGCAAATCGAACCTGGACTCTGCTCCAACGAAGGGGCACCAAAACTTTTGCATCATTTTCAATGTAAACATTGGTCCAAAGTGGGGCAGTGGAGAAATCAAGTAAAGGAGTTTCCGTTTCTGTAGTGACGTTGTCATTGTCAACTCTTAAGCTCAGTAGATATGCATCAAAGCATGTACCCGCTGCTCCACCATTCATTGGACATCCGATGCTCTTACCACCTGCCACAGGGACAAAAAGTACGTATCTTCAGCCATAAACCTCAACAATGTAATTCCATCAACACTCAACTGCTGCTGACTAGACTACACCAAAAGAACTTAATTCAATTGGTTCAACATGTTTGAGAAGCCTTGTAATTCAACCTCTAATATCATTATACGAGATGCTTGAAATCTCAGCTTACTCTATGAATAAACGAAAAGAAGGATATTTATTTGATCCAACATTTTTGAACTTTTGTTATATAAGTAGGGGAAATTGCTTGGTAAAGCATCCTACTTTCATTTCTTCCTATTACCGCATTCTACTTTGAAAACTTTATGCGGTTGCTAACATGTAGTCCAAACTCAAAGCAATTTTAACTGCTTTAATCGTCTAGATTTTTCAAAAGTTGAAAGTGAAATGCTATAATTAGGTACATATTTTGAAGTACAAAGCTTTGATAACCAAAAAAAAATGAAACTAAAATGCTGTAATAAAAAGAAATTCTCGTATTTAGCATTCTAAAAATCCAGAATCACAGCCTATATTACAATTAGCACTTCTTGCAATTTGGTCAGAATGATCTGTCAGACCCATGATGCATTTCTTATGGTGAGTTCCATATTTAGTCATTTTGCAGATGAATTAGGCATAGAAAACCATACTCCCCCAAATTTTTTATAAAAAAAATAGTATTCAATTAAGTCCATCATGATTGATTCCATGACCAAATTTTTTTTATCAATGACATATAGTGATCTTAAATATGAGCACTTGGTTTAATTGAAACTAATAAGCAATTGAATAAAAATCCGCAGTACAGTACATCATACCATGGACTTCAACTTTTATGTCTTCTTGCTTGCTGTGACAGTCAAGAGAAATTCGTCCTCCTCCTCCACCACCCCACCCACTTCCGCCAGATGCACTTACAATACCAAATCCCTTCCTATCCAGATACAAGTACAACAGAGTGTGAGAATCACTAAAATATTCAAAATTCAAACACGCACTACTCATTTTCACCATAATGAAAACATAAGTGGAGACTGGAGAGTACATACAGTTTTAGAGCACGTATGACAATGCTTCCACCAGATCCACCTCCACCATTTACTCCTCCATAACCTCCTTCGGCTAGTAGAGATCCATTCATATACAAAAGATCCTTCACAATAAGCTTAACACGTCCACCACCATTCCCTCCATGCTTATGCTCATCTGATGTCCCACCACCCTTACTCCCATAACTCCATGGATAAGGCAACGTAGACCAAGCATAAACATCACCACCCCAATACTTTGTTTCATTGTTCCTTAAACAAGAAGCCCCTCGCCCACCATGCCCTCCACCAGCACCATCATACCCTACCGGAGTCCCACTAGTCTGAGAAGGTGGTGCTCCACCCATAGCCGTCGTGTTTATCATTGAATTAGACTCCATGCTCATATTAGCTGCAGAGAAAATCACAGACCCAGCAATGATAGCTGAGTTTTGTCCCACTTTGATGTTGCCAGACAGATTGAAGCTAATTACACAACCTTCTATGGGACAAACAATCATAACATGTGGAAGGATCTCGATATTTCCACTAGCCAATATATAAACATCACAACTTAAAGTAACATCTGAGTTCAGCAGACATGTTGTGTCAAATGACCCCACACCTCCCAGGCCTTCACAAGTGACCTCATTGTATGATAATTCTGGATAACCCCATCTTTCTATATAATTCCAACTCCTAATTTCAGAACCAATACTTGGAAATGAATTTCTTTCATATCCCCCCGAATTCACACAAAGCACAATTACAAAGATATATCCAGCAAGAATGCACCAGGAAAGGTACCCATGAGTCAGGATTGAAATTCGACGCATCACTGCAAGACTCCCACTTTGAGCATCAAATCAGCAGTATCATAAATCTTCAGGTTTCACCAAATCTCTACACTTTAGAAAAACAAAACCACATGAAAATAATAGTGGAGAACAACATCAACTCCAGTTGTAATAACCATAATTTTTAAATTATGTGCATAAACTACATGAATAAGCATGCAAATTAATTTGACTTAATGTTGACCAGATGAGTTTGTGGCAAGTTCCAAAACAGAGAATTTCAATTCAGCAATGCAACAAAACTTCCAACGATTACACAAATATACATAAGCACAACATAATTATACAAATTGTCAGAAAGGATGAAACTTGAGTACTATAATCGTATACCCACAACCGGAGATCTCTATTGCTGTATATGAAATCAAGCCACCATTGACTCAATTTGTACCCAATTTACTATAACTCGCACCAGAATGATCCGAACTAGATGCCAATTATACATCAAACACGTGATGTGCGTGCGAAAGAGAAAAAGAAAGAGCACGCGAAGGAAATAAAAAAGAAAAGGAATTTCTGGGTAATCTTACTGAAAAGGAATCGACTTTATGCCTTCAACTGTGTTTGATCTTGCCTAGGCAGGAGTGATTTCTCTTTATACTCTTGGAAATTCACCCACTTTGTGTCTAAGATTTTGTGCAGGAATTGAAACGGGACGATGATGATGACGGTGGTTTTGGGTATTATTATTAAATGAAAACTTGCGAGATGAGTGAGGAGGGAGTGAAGTGAAAGAAAGTCGTAAAGAGTCCAAGCTTGAAAGCTGTATGGGAAAGGCAAATGCATAGCTGTAAATAATATTTCGATTACGAAAGCGATGCCCACTCATATCTCTCTTCCCTATTTATTTATTTATTTATTTATTCGTTTAACTCATTTTAACCCGCTTAGAAAATGAATTAACTTTTAAAGAAAAATCTAATAATTACTGATAAATTATTTTAAATAAAGAAAAAACATCATAAATGGTTGATGTGGTTTTCAAAATCTAAAGTTTAGCTCCTGTGTTTTAAAAACCTCATATATGATCCCTGTGTTTTCAAAACTTTTCACAGTTGGTCCTTATTGCTAACTCCATTAGTTTTATCTGTTAACTAAAGGATATTTTCATCTTTTCACTACCACAAGGACCATTTTATGATGTTTTTTCTTATTTTATTTTTTATATTAAAAATAATTATTTAATATGTAAAAGGTCATCTCTCTCTCTCTCTCTCTCTCTCTCTCTCTCTCTCTCTCTCTCTCTCTCTCTCTCTCTCTCGTCATTAACCTCTGGCCAAAGAAGAAGAAAAACCAGTGACCTTCACCATCGATGGCAACCCTCCTCCCCTTCCCTTCAATTTCATCAACTCCAGCTACCAAACACCTCCTGTCCGGCGCAACTACTACTTCTCTGCTTCCCTGCGTTTATGATTACCGGAGAAGAGAAAAAGGACCATAAGGATCGTCGAAAAAGGGCAATAATCTTCTGCCGGCTAAGCCCTCCTCACAACTGATTAAACATCACCGTAATCACCTCGTATGACAGTTGTACCATCGAAGGTTGGAGTACCGAGAGAAAGAGCGCACCGAAAGAACCGAGTGCTCTTCCTTCTTCCACCGATTGCAGTCACCCTCTCAATATTTGTTGTCGTTCTGTTTTGCTTCCTCTTAATTGGACCATCGATGATGAACAAATAGACCAAGGAGGAGCTTGGCGGAGCTCCTTATCCTTTTTCTCCTCCATTTGCTCACTATTTACTGCCGTTTCACTTTCTGAAAACCTAATTTTGACAACTACGATGCACAGGGCTTGATATAAAACATATATGAGACTTGCTGAATCCATCGATCATGAGTCTCACAGAGATGATTTCTTCACCTAGGGCTTGATATGAACATATCTGAGAAGGGTTTCAGATGACGACAAAGATGGATATGTTTAGTCGGATTCTTCGAAGACTTGATTTCATCATTGAAGAATGGCAAAAAAAAAATAAATAAATAAATAAAAATAATAATAAAAAAAAATCGAGAATCAGAGTGGGTTTTGGGGGTGAAGACACCATTGAAGCATTATCTGTCAGTGAGGTGAATTGTGTGGGATGGTGAGACGAAGGTGATGATTAAGAGAGAGAGAGAGAGAAAGAGAGAGAGAGGACCTTTTACATATTAAATAATTATTTTTAATATAAAAAATAAAATAAGAAAAAACATCATAAATGGTCCTTATGGTAGTGAAAAGACGAAAATGCCCTTCAGTTAACAGATAAAACTAACGGGGTTAGCAATAAGGACCAACTGTGAAAAGTTTTGAAAGCACAGGGATCATCTATAAGGTTTTTAAGCCACGGGAACTAAACTTCAGATTTTAGAAAACCACAGGGACCATTTATGATGTTTTTTCTTAAATAAATTATTAATTAAAATATGTATTTTTTAATTATCTAAAATTATAAGGTTGATTCCAATGAATACGTCAAATTTATTTTGAAGATAAAGGTGCAAAAAAAATTATTTGATCAGGTATAATTACCAAAAAAAATGAAATCCATGATTTTAATATCTAAAAATTTAGTGGTTATATATTTAAATTGGAGAAATAGTATAATGACACTTAACAAAATATTAATTAATAGAAACAAAATATTAACAAGTGGCATATTAGTAATTGGTATGTCTAAATGAGTAACACATGGCAAAATTCTTTTATTAAATGAAGATTTAATCATTTCTGGTTTAGATTTATAACGATGTATGTAGATCCTTTCTCAAAATCGTCTTCTTTTAGCCCTATATTTTAGGAACTGTCATTGCGTTTGCCCTTCTAATTTCATTTAAGAGTACTATTTGGTATCAAATCATCTAGCATAATGAAAAAAGAGTAAATTACATAAATAGTACTTGTGGATAATAAAAAGTTATGATTTTAGTTCAACTTATTTTTTTTAATAAATCGGAATTTGGTAGCGGTATTGATTTATGATAATGTAAAATGATTAATTCACACTATTTTCATCCCTCGTCCTTGACGCCCGATGATGTTTTATTGCCCCATTGTCATGCTCCATCAAGATCTTAATATAAACAAATTGGGTAAAAATCGACCAAATTATTCAAACTCTTTAGTTTCTACATCATGATTCATGTTGGTTTTTCATTAAAAATAGTCTATAAGAAACTACAAGTTTAGCAACAAAAGGATTTTAAAATAAAAAACTTAAAACCATTTTAACTGATCAATGATCATTTTGCAAAACATGGAAAGATTAAATCAACCATAGAAGGAAAAAAGAACTACAACCTCCTATGAAGACTTTAATTATTCTCGGGAGGTTGGAAGTTGATGAAGATAAAAAATACTCCAAAGTAGAAGCTTTTATATATATATATATATATATATATATATATATATATATATATATATATATATAGAGAGAGAGAGAGAGAGGTTTAGGTATTTAAAGTAATTAGTGTGTTATTATATGAATAAATGTAGGCTAATCATTTCAAAATGGTAAATATGTAATCTTACATTTAATTAATTATGATAAATATATAAATCAATTAATATCCCTCTAATTTTATATATATATATATATATATATATATATATATATATATATATATATATATATCCTCACGCCCACCTCTTCCCTTTTCTCTTCTCTTTTATTCATCGTCGGCCCCAAATTAACAATTTCAATCCTTAGTTAGATCGTAACGATTCTCGTTATTTTTTAATAACAAAAAAATTGAATGTGATCTACACAGACGGAGTGACATCAATGGCGAATTTTTTGAAGAAGAAGACGAGCGAAGGCGACCTTTATAGTAATTATTGCAAGTATGACAATCAAGGCTTACAACTATTCACTTCCTCCTTGTATCTCGCTGGACTAACAGCAACTTTCTTTGCGTCTTACACGACGAGGAAACTTGGAAGAAGGTTGACTATGTTGATTGTCGAAGTTTTCTTCATCTTTGGAATTATTTTCAATGCAGCTGCTCAAAACCTTGCCATGCTCATTGTTGGCAAGATTCTGCTTGGTTATGGTGTTGGTTTTGCTAATTAGGTTTGTTCGATTCCTCGAAATCTTTATTTTGTCCTTTTTAATAACTAAAAATTAACGTTTAATAAACTAATAACAAAATACAGATCTTGCATCTTGATTTTAAGTGGCTAGCTTTATAAATCTTTCATTTGGATTTCAAGCCATAAGGCTTTTTAACCTAGACCCATTTGCAATTTCATGCGTATTTAGACCAAATAGTGTGAAAAATACGAAATTGATTATCACCACATGTTCTTAAACTTGGTCTTCCAATTGCATGAAGGATAAAAAGGCATTGCCTTCCAATTTTTATGCTCGGGTTTTATGTTCATCTCATTTTCATACATTCAAATCCATAATTTCTTTTTTTAATTTTCATGCAAATCTTATTCAAAATTTTATTTTAACTGCAATATTACAACTCATTGGGAATTTGTTCTGGCTGTCTAATTTTTACAGGAAATTGAAAGTTGTTTTGATGCACACCAAACACTCGTTAAAATGCTTCAACTGAATTGTATTTCTTCATTTATAGTATTCTATCATAAAAGAATGTTTTTTTATGATAATCATGAACATATTCTGTTATAATGCCCCGAATTAATATAATTATTGGTAAATGAATTCCAATTCTATCAGAATGGAATCACGAATTCCAATTATATTGGAATGGAATACAGATATTTTCCCACTAATTTATTCATTGGATTTGTTTCCACATAAGTTGATGCTTGAAGAACGGACCACGAAATCTGAACAACGCCTCTTAGCAACATTATTCTTTTAGAATGTATTAGTGTCTTTGTTAGATTTTAATGTTTTTTTTTTTTTTCAGATTTGAAAGTTTTTTTATTTTTATTCTTTAATAATAAATGTAATTCTTAACAATTGTTATATGTATTCTATAAGAATTAATTTTGTTATTCTATAAGAAATTTTTAAAGTCACGATCAAGAAATATATTCAAGAATATTTTTATTATTTTATGGTTCAAGAATATTTTTATTTTTGAATATACTTAAACATATTCTGTAAAAATGTCCAAATTAAAACATTATAATTTGTAAAATCGGATTTTTAAAATTAATAGAATCTATGATCATTTAAAATATACAAATTTCATTTATTAAATCTATATTAATTGACTAAAATATCATTCTAGTTAAATTAGATGGTATTTTTTCGATTATATTTAATTCAATAATATATATTAATCATTTTCTTAAAATAAGTAAAATGATTGGCCCACATTTATACATACAATAACACAATAATTACTTTGAATATAATAACCTAAGCCTATATATATATATATATATATATATATATATATATATATATATATATATATATATATATATATATATATATATATATATATACACACCAAACAAGAGCAAGTCAATTCAAGATGCTAGTCTTTGTTGGGTTTTGTTCAAAATCGGTTTTCCAAAAACATTAAAATCGGCAACGAGAACTTTAAAATTGAATAAACTTAAAACTTTTTTTAACTAACCCATGATCATTTTGCAATAAAAGAAAGATCAAAACAACCATAGAAAGGGAAAGATTACAACCTTTGAAGTATTTGATTCTCGTGGGAGATATAAGTTGATGAAGTGATGCATTAAGCTCCAAAAAAGAAGCACTCTACAAGTATCCACCAAGCAAGGAAATACCACCACTAGATGCATGTTTTAACTTAGATATATATATATATATATATATATATATATATATATATATATATATATATATATGTATATATATTGTTCTTAAGCCTTAAAAGTTTATACTAAATAAAAATTCAAAGAAGAAGCAACATAAGCACCAAAATCCAAGTAACAAGATTGCAAGAGAGAGGAGATAGGAGCTCATCATGCTATCGGCATTTTGGCAAGAAAATGGAAAGAGAAAAAACTAAACTAGCTCATTACCATCTCTCTTCTTTTATACTTACAATTATAAGTGAGAGCTCATGCTTTCATTTAATGTTACCAATATTTGCAAGTAAGTAAGTGGTGTAAGAGATATAAGTCAAAGAAGCAACCTCCATAGTACATGACATGTAAATCATACCATGTGATTAAATGTAACTAGTTATGATGCATTTTATTATTATTTCTTGGAAATAATAATTCCCAATATGATGGTAAAATATTCTTTTCATAAACTAATGTTTTTCTAATTAAATAAAAGTATTGATATTTATTAATAATCAAAATTTCTCTAATAAATAATCAATTAGTAGTAACTTGCTATAAGGTGTAACCATATAGGATCATATGTCATTAGCAAATGTCATTTTATAATGACTATTGGACATTAAGATCTTTCAATCTCCCTTTTTCACAAGACTCATCATAGATTGATATAGACAGTGGTGAACATCTAACAATATTTCATTACCCCCGATAACATATGACGAGGAATGTCATTCATTAACATCCAATTCCCAAAAGTTTAAAGCTACAACTGATTTATAAGGTAAGTTTACCAGTTATCTCTTTGTTACACGCATCATGTTGAACATGAGACTTAGATCGAATCAATCTCATTTGGTGTTTAACTTTGGGTAATGTGTGTTAGATATCTTGTTCTCAACATATAAGATTAACAAATCACATCTTGACTACATAAATCTTTGGCATAGTTCACACCACACCTAATAATGGTTTTTTAACTATCTGATTAAGGATCAACATTTGACCACATCAAATTATAACACTCCATACACTTAATTCTCACTATGTATCTCAGGTATTAAGGATACAAAGATAGTACCTTTATCAAGTATCACTCACGAAAGCGATCCATGAGATGATCTTGATATGGGTTTGATGTGTGTACGGAGGGGGTTTTCTTTTTGGGTTTTTATGAACGTAACGGAAAATAAGAAACAAGACCAAGAACAATAAAAAAAAATAACTTGAGCTTTTTCAAGATCAGGGAATCATCCATCAAATTAGCAAATGATATGTGATGACAAGCCAAGACCAATTGACTTGAAATCGAGTCACTAATGAGAAACACATCCCAAACAATGACGACAATTCGAATTATATGCAATAATTCAAGAAATCAAGAACAAACGTTCAAAATTTTAACTTCAATCAACTATCATTAATATTGATTACAATGTTTTAAGGGGCTATTTATAGCCTTACAACCTATTACAAAAAGAAAGAGAACTAATTACAAAAAGGAAACCTAATAAAAACTATATAAAAAAAATTGTAACAATAAAGTAGAATCTTCTAGATCATCCACTTGATTAACCATTCAAACTCATCTTGTTTCAGAAAAGCCCCAACCAGCTTTCGCATCCACCACTCACACCTAATGGTCGTTTGCATCCAATAGCCTTGTTCGCAACTAAATAGCATCTGAGAATCACAATTAGACTCGTTCCGAGGTTCGCATCCAGTCGTACCGAAATGGTTCACATTCACATCGAATCCACTAGTGACTGAGATGGCTTGTGATTGTTCGCATTCAATCGCATACTAGACTCCTTTCGCACTCAACATCACTTTTGCAATCAGGATCTGGATGCGTCTTGGAACTTAAACCCAGTTCGGACTTGAAATTCATCTCGGAATTGGAAGTCTTCTCGGATTGTGAACTTAGATTTGTATCATCCCCCCCATCTTCGAAAGGAATTGTCCTCAATTCTATAAGGACTTTATAACATTGTTCTACCAGATAAGCAATCCATACAAATCTTCCGAGTCAGTCTCTTTTTTCATGTGACAACTGGCAAACTTGGAGACAAGCCACGTCAAAAGATGTACTATGTATAAGTGAAAACCACATTGTAACCATGTTACGTTAAATCACCATTAGCCATGAGGGCATGTTTATATATGTTTATATATATATATATATTGAAAACCATATTGATTTAAGTTAAAATCAGTCAACACAAGTCAAAGAAACAAATCAAAAAGCCTGAATTATACCCCCATTATTGAGATTTCAGTTTTGGAAGCAAATATCTAAGGGTTTTCGGTTGTGTTTGGCCGAAAACTCAAGTCTAGGCCCATTAAGGCCGAAAACACCCCCTTCTTGGATAAAGCCATGACCGAAATCGTCACTTTTTGAATGAGTTTAAAGGATTTTGGTCATGCTTGGCCGAAATCACCTTCTTTTTTGCCGAAATCCCCTCAAATATTAGATATTTTATGCAACTTGATTGGCTGATTTAATTTCCCAATGTGATAATTACACAAACCAAGGCAAACATCACCTCAAACTCTTATCCTTTCCTTCCTATTTAAGTTACGAAATGAGGATCATTTAACATTTTCCAGTAAACAACTTCACCTCAATTCTCTCTCAACACTCCAACCTCATTTCTTTCCAAAACTTAAAGAGTAGAGCAACATCTACTGGAGCTTTATTGTCTTCAATCAGTATATTATAAGATCATTGATACAACTAGATTCTAGTATTCTAAACTCGAAGGCCGTTGTTTTCATCTCAATATCCAGTCGAAAACACACATAAGGTGAGTTCAGTCCCCTTACATTTTCAAGACTTTTTCTATGTTTTAGGGGGGGGGGAGGGGATACAAGTAACATACAAGAATATTTATGTTAAAACGCAAACATTTAAATACGTTATTTTACCATTTTTATGAAAAGTGTTAAATACGCGAAATGGCTTTACTACCAAACCCGTATATTTTTACGTACAACATATTGATAATAACGTAAAGATATGAAAAATGGTTACAAGGTACATTACATTATTCTTACAAATATATATAACTATATATGTTTTGAGTACAAGATGTTCATTTCATTAAAACTTTATCAATATAATTTACGAAACTTTACCCATTTGTAACCCGTTGAGCAAAAGGGCATATATCATTGTTTTATGGCATTTTCGATATTATCCTGGAAATAGGGGATAATATAATATACAAACGTTTTCATTTAAAAAACGTGTACACTCGTTGAATAAATTTGTGAGATATTGTCTTCATCGTACCTAACTGAGGTATACACAAAAGT